CATTAGCGTATATTAACTGAGACGTTAACGTTCCGGATCACATAATGTTCTTGAAGCACAAACTTCACAAGTTACAACATTAGCGTATATTAACTGAGACGTTAACGTTCCGGATCACATAATGTTCTTGAAGCACAAACTACAATATTAGTGTATATTGGCAGATTCTTGCAAGATTTTAGATTATCAGCTATATACAAATGTCAGTCCGAATAAAGATTTAAAGAAATGTAAAACAAACATAACTGTTCTGTAATTTGTATTTTCAACAATCACTAAATTTCACAATGTGATGTCCATATTCACATTACTGATAACCAGAAGTTAATGTTACTCTTAACTGATCTTCGGTTGATCATACCATGAGATACAGAAATGTTATGTCACAGTGAAAATAATAATACCCCCTGTTCTAATAACTCGTTGAGCCAGACATTCCTAAATCCCAAGTTGAAGCCGTCTTGGTGCAGGCTTCACTCGTTTTGTTTTGAAGTAAATTCCTAAAACAATAGGCCCGGCATGGCCAGGTGGTTAGGGCGCTAGACTCGCAATCTGAGGGTCGCGGGTTCGAATCCCTATCACACCAAACATGCTTACCGTTTCAGCCATGGGGGCGTTATAATGTGACGGTCAATCCCACTATTCGTTGGTAAAAGAGTAGCCCAAGAGTTGGACCAGTGAGTGGTGATGACTAGCTGTCTTCCCTCTAGTCTTGCACTGCTAAATTAGGGACGGCTAGCGCAGATAGCCCTCGTGTAGCTTTGCGCGAAATTCAAAACAAACAAACAAACTAAAACAATAAGTCTCCAAATCCTACACCGGCAGCGCACTCCAATACGTCTCATCTATTCTCAAATGGGCTCAGATATGAAGATTGTGATGGCAAGGGAAGATGCTGGAACTCTTCTTCATCCTCATTAAACCAACTATGAACAATGCTGCAACAATGGGTGGTGGTACTTTTCTGTAAAATACCCATCACTAGATGGTGGTACTTTTCTTTGGTGTGTTTTCTCTTATAGCAAAGCCACATTGGGCTATCTACTGTGTCCACCGAGGGAAATCAAACCCTTTATTTTAGCATTGTAAGTCCGAAGACTTACCGCTGTCCCATTGGAGGACAGTTTTCTTGAAAATACCCATCACCAGCTGGTGGTACTTTTCTTGAAAATACCCACCACCTGCTGGTGGTACTTTTATTTAAATGTCCATCACCTTCAAGCTATATTTAAACTTCTTTCCGAAAATGATCAAATGTTCATGGGACGTACAATTATTCAGAGAGACCAATGGATTAAATTAATCCAATGAAGATACACCCACATCAGTACTCCACCTCCAACAGTTTACAAATCCTCATTGGACTGTAAACAATAGTTTATTCTCCGATTTGTACAAAATAGCGTGTATCGAGGTTTATTTTACAGCATGACAAATTTCCATTGGTCAACAGCCCAATCCCGATGGGATTTGTGGGCGTGTACTTCTTTCGGCAGCTGAAACTAATGGTTTACCGATGGATCAGCATTCACCAAAAATTAATTTCATGCAGCATTTTTATTGTTGAAATGGATGACCCTAGTCAATGGGTGATGTGCTGTAATGAATATATATTGCTTCCCGCAGATCTTGCTAACCACTGTCCGCCTCTGTCTGGGTACAGTTTTTTCCGTCTACAACATCACCTAGTTATAGATGTTTTGTTGAGACATCCGCCACGTCATATAGTTATAGATGTTTTGTTCAGACATCCGCCACGTCATATAGTTATGGATGTTTTGTTGAGACATCCACCACGTCATATAGTTATAGATGTTTTGTTGAGACATCCGCCACGTCATATAGTTATGGATGTTTTGTTGAGACATCCGTCACATCATATAGTTATGGATGTTTTGTTGAGACATCCGCCACGTCATATAGTTATGGATGTTTTGTTGAGACATCCGTCACGTCATAGAGTTACATATGTTTTGTTCAGATATCCGCCACATCATATAGTTATAGATGTTTTGTTGAGACATCCGCCACATCATATAGTTATAGATGTTTTGTTCAGACATCCTCCACGTCATATAGTTATGGATGTTTTGTTGAGACATCCGCCACGTCACATAGTTATGGATGTTTTGTTGAGACATCCGCCACATCATATAGTTATAGATGTTTTGTTGAGACATCCGCCACATCATATAGTTATAGATGTTTTGTTGAGACATCCGCCACGTCATATAGTTATGGATGTTTTGTTGAGACATCCTCCACATCATATAGTTATAGATGTTTTGTTCAGACATCCTCCACATCATATAGTTATAGATGTTTTGTTCAGACATCTTCCACATCATATAGTTATAGATGTTTTATTGAGACATCCGCCACATCATATAGTTATAGATGTTTTGTTCAGACATCCGCCACATCATATAGTTATAGATGTTTTGTTGAGACATCCTCCACATCATATAGTTATAGATGTTTTGTTGAGACAACCTCCACATCATATAGTTTCGTGAGATAATCGTCTTTGATTTCCATTTAGTTGCATTGTTTTTACACCTGCGACTTCAGGATCTAAAAATAATGACTTTAGGTGTCATCCAATCATTAACCCTTCTCGTCATCCAGTTTTTAACCTTTTCCATCTTAATAAAACCTGAGGCACAAAAAAAAAACTGTTTACTTATCTTGGACCAATATCTATGTTAAAGGGGGGGGGGTGCTACCTCTTTATGTGTCAAATAGTGGGACAGTCCAAAAAACAAACAATGAGTTTCCTAATTTATTGGCCTCTTCCCAGTGGCACAGCGTTATGTCTGCAGACGTACAACGCTGGAAACCAGGTTTCGATACCCATGGTGGACAAAGCACAGATAGCCTATTGTGTAGTTTTATGCTTAATTACAAGCAAACAAACAATCTATTGGTCAAATAGGTTAATTTTTATATGTGTGTGTCTGTCTGTCTGTCTGTACATTCAATATTGATATAATTAGTATTACATATTATTATGTATATTATATATATGTGTGTGTGTGTCTGTCTGTACATTCAATATTGTATATAATTAGTATTACATATTATTATGTATATTATATATATATATATATATGTGTGTGTGTCTGTCTGTACATTCTAATATTAGTATATAATCAATATTATATATTATTAT